GGAAACGTTAACCCATTCCATTCCCAGGTTCTGAAAATGTGAGTGACATGGACCTAGTTTTAAAAACTCTCCTCTAGATACTTCTCTTTAACTTTGGTGTCCTCACTTCTTTCACTCTGTGTGACAGGGTTATTAAAAGAGCATTTTTAAGGCCTGGGAAATAAATTAAGTCCAGACAAGTGTTTCGAGGTCTCTTTAATGCTTGGACAACTGGGAAAGCGAGAAGACAAGCTCCTTGAGGCCAGGACCCAGTATGCCTGATTCATCTGTGTCTTGCCCTCAGAGTTTAGCACGCTGTGCTTTCTAAATGATTGTCAAGGACAATGACACAGTCTGGGCTGCTCCTCTTCTCTCCAACACAGCAGCCAAGAGGTAAAATAGGCCAGGATGCGGTACGAAAAGCTGTCACTCTGTTACATCTCCCACTTCCCTAAGGTAGCAGATGATTGGGTTTTGCATGCCTGGTTTACACTCTTCAAATATTTATAGACAGTTCTCTTTGCCTCCAGCCCTAGTTGTCACTTAGCCAAGTTATACATACATGGTTCTTTTAATCTTTCCTTAGAAATCAATCCCACTAAGCTCTTTAATCATTCTAGTTGCATTTCTCTCAACTTTTGGCAGTTTGTCTTTCTGGTGATTTAGTCTGTGGCAAAGCAGGGAAAAAAGCATGAAACATAGACGGGTGTGGTCCCCTTTCCATTTCAAAATTCAATGCCTTTTATGTGCAAAATAAAATTATTTTTCTTCTGTTTGTATGAACATGTTTTTAAATATTCATATTTAAGTTGATGTATTAATAGACTGCAAGATAAACAAAAAAAGTATTATTGGTACTATATTGTCTAAGGATGATATTGTCACTGACTGAACCCTCTCATGTATAACTGGTCTAACTTGCAGTATTCCAATATGAGAAATGGGAATCTAGAGTAACATAGTCACTACAAAGAAGCTTAAATGCCCATCCTAAGGTACTGCCCCTCTGTAAATACTTCTCACTAACTTTAGCTTTTTAGTAACAAATTTTAAAAATAAGTTAATTTTTACCATTATAAAAGGAATACACTAAAAAAATTCAAATGATCTGAAATAGAAAAAATTACCTACATGCTACAACCCAAAGTCAACATTTAGCGTTTTAAATTATTTTTTAAATTTACAGATAAAATTTTATGTTATTTATTGTATACAACAGGTTTTGAGGTATATAGACAGGCCTTGTTTTATTGTGCTTCACAGATACTACACTTTTTTTTTTTAAACAACTGAAGATTTGTGGCAAACCTGAGTCGAGCAATTCTATTGGCATCATTCTGCCAACATCATGAACCTCCTTCGTGTTTCTGGGCCACACTTTGATAATTTTACTAATGTTTAAAACTTTTTTCATTATTATTATATCTGTTATGGTAATCTGTGCCCTTTGATGTTACTATTGTAACTGTTGTGGGGCACGACAAATTGTGCCCTTATAGGATAGCCAACTTCATTGATACATATTGTATATGCTGACTGCTCCATAAACCAGCCATTCCTTTGTATCTCTCCATCTTCTCAGGCCTCTCTATTTTCTGAGACACAACAATATTGATGTTAGGCCAATTAATAACCCTGTGATGGTCTCCAAGTATTCATGTGAAAGGAAGAGCTGCACAACTCTCACTTTAAATCAAAAGCTGGAAATGATTAAGCTCAGTGAGAAAGGCATGTCAAAAGCTTTAATTGGTCAAACACTGGGTCTCTTGCACCAGGTAGCCAGGTGATGAATGAAAAGGAAAAATTATTGAAGAAAATTAAAGCGATTAAACTAAAATGACAGCAAAAACACACAATGAGCAAGTGAAACAACCTTACTGCTGATATAAAGAAAGTTTTACTGGTCTGCATAGAAAATCATACCAGCCATAACATTTCCTAAGCCAAAGCCTAATGCGAAGCAAGGCCCTAACTCTATTCTATGAAAGCGGAGAGGTGAGGAAGTTGCAGAAGAAGAGTTAGAAGCTAGCAGAAGTTGGTTCATGAGGTTTAAGGAAAGATGATGCCTCCATAACCTCAGAGTGCAGGGTGAAGCAGTCAAGTGCTGATGGAGAAGCTGCAGTGAGTTATACTGAAGATCTAGCTAAGACCATTGATGAAAGTGGCTGCACTTAAACAACAGATTTTCAGTGCAGATGAAACAGCCTTTTATTGGAAGAAGATGCCATCTAGGACTTTCATAGCTAGAGAGGAGAGGTCAATGTCTGACTTCAAAGCTTCCAAGACCGGGCTGACTCTCATTAGGGGCTAATGCTGACAGTGACTTGAAGTTGATGCCAGTGCCCATTTGTCATTTTGAAAATCCTAGGGTCCTTAAGGATTATGCTTAATCTACTCTGCCTGTGCTCTAGAAATAGAGCAACAAAGCCTGGATGACAGCACATCTGTTTATGGCATGGTTTACTGAAAATTTTAAGCCAACTGTTGAAGCCTACTGCTCAGGAAAAGGATTTTGTAAGGCTAGAGCTGCCACAGATTCCTCTGATGAATCAGGGAAAAGTAAATCAAAAACCTTCTAGAAAGGACTCACCATTCTGGATACCACTAAGAACATTTGTGATTCGGTGGGGAGGTCATAATAACATTAACAGGAATTTGGAAGAAGTGATTCCAGCTCTCACGGATGACTCTGAGGGGTTCAAGACTTCAGGGGAGGAAGTAACTGCAGAAGTGATTTAAAGAGCAAGAGACCTATAATTAGAAGTGGAGCCTGAAGATGTGACTGAACTGCTGCAGTCTTGTGATAAAACTTGAATGGATGAGGAGTTGCTTCTTCTGGATGACCAAATACAGTGGTGTCTTCAAATGCAATCTACTTGTGGTAAAGATGCTGTGAACATTGTTGAAATAACAAAAGATTTAGAATATTACACAACCTTAGTTGATAAAGCAGCAGCAGAGTTTGAGAGGACTGACTCCAGTTTTTAAAGAAGTTCTCCTGTGGGTCAAATTGTATCAAACAGCATCGTACGCTACAGAGAAATCTTTTGTGAAAGGAAGTCAATTGATGCAGCAGATTTCATTGTTGTCTTATTTTAAGAAATTGCCACAGCCACCTCAACCTTTGGCAACTACCCTGATCAGTCAGCAGCTATCAACATCGAGACCAGATCTTCTACCAGGAAAAAGATTACAACACGTTGAAAGCTCAGATGGTTGCTAGAATTTTTTAGCAATAAAGTATTTAATTTAGTTTTATTGTTTTTTGAGATGGAGTTCTGCTCTTGTTGCTCAGGCTGGAGTGCAGTGGCGTGATCTCGGCTCACTGCAACCTCCGTCTCCTGGGTTCAAGCAATTCTCCTGCCTCAGCCTCCCAAGTAGCTGGGATTACAAAACATTCACCACCATGCCTGGCTAATTTTGTATTTTTAGTAGAGACAGGTTTCAACACGTTAGTCAGGCTGGTCTCGAATTCCTGACCTCAGGTGATCCACCCGCCTTGGCCTCCCAAAGTGCTGGGATTACAGGTGTGAGCCACCGCACCAGGCTGCAATAAAGTATTTTAAATTAAGATATGTACATTGTATCTACATCATGATATTACACACTTAATAGACTACAGTACAGTAAGTTTAACTTTTATATACACTGGAAAACAAAAACTGTGTGACTTGCTTTATTGTATCACTTTATCATGATGGTCTGGAACTAAATCTGCAATATATCTGAGGTACATATGTATGACGTAGAGTAACTAAATCTAACTAACTGACAAACGCATTACCTCTATAGTTATCATTTTTGTGATGAGAACCTTTAACATCCAGTCTCTTAGTATTTTTCAAGAATACAATATATTGTTATTACCTATACTCACCATCTATGTACAACAGATCTCTTTAACTTATTCTATCTACCTGAAACTTTGTATCTTTTGACCAGCATCACCCCAAAGTCCTCAGCTCTTAGTAACCACCATTCTACTTTGTAGTTCTATGAGATCAACTTCTTCAGATTTCACATATGAGTGATATCATATAGTGTTTGTCCTCTATGCCTGGCTTATTTCACTTAACATAGTGTCCTCCAGGCTCATCCATACTGTGGCAAATGGCAGACTTTTTTTCTTTTTTATGGTTGAATAGTATTCCATTGTGTATATATACCACATTCTCTTTATCCATTCATCTGTGGATGGACACTTAGGTTGATTCCATATATCCTGGCTATTGTGAATATGCAATAAACATATGGTAATGCAGCTGTTTGATATACTCATTTCATTTCCTTTGGATACATATACACCCAGTAGTCAGATTGCTGGATTGTAGAGTCATTTTATTTTGAATTTTCTGAGGACCCTCTACACGGTTTTTCACAATGAATGTACTAACCATTTTTGAAGAATACCATTTAAGCCTTTTCTGAAGTATTGTCCCCCCATCTCCAACATACATAGTCATACCATTTGCACCAGTGTAACACTTTGCCTTTTCACTTAATGTTATAATATAAAATTTCATCTATCGCCTTGTCTTTAAATATTCATTTTTATTGAGTGCCAATCATTCCACAAGTAAGTGGGCATGCCATAATTTTACAATTCCCTACTGTTGGACAGTTACATCATTTCCACTTTTTCTCTAGTTTAGACATCACTATGACGAAAATCTTCTTTACACACAAGCAAAAAAAACCTTGTGTGTAAAGTTTTTGTCTGTTAAGATTATTCCTAGATTCACAGCAGTAAAATCAATGTGTCAAAGGACAGGCAGAAAGTAAGTTATGAGGTAAAAAATCAGTGCAGGTGTTATGTGAAGTGAAAAATGCCACCTTAAGTACAAAGATTTGTCTTTTGGCTCTAATGCTAACAAGTGAACACTCAAATCTTAGAAGGTTGTAGAAAACTGTCTGAAATGGCTAATTCTAATAAGTTAAATGTTGTACCCACTAGTATTCCACTTCTTTATTCACACAAGTGTATGGCTGATCCCTTATTGAGTTTAAATTCTTAACCTTACCTAGATCTACCATCAGAAGGCGAGTGAGCGCTGTGTAGAAGGTTGTTCGACACCTGAAGTCACTGAGACTGTAACTGTCACTGATGCCAAGAAAAGGGAAGTGTTCACTCTAATGAAAGCAAAAGAGTAATCCAAGTTACTAACGCTTTACCTCAACTATTTGTAAAATTCTATTCATTAATTAAAGAAATAAGACTTACCGTGTGGTTTTTTAGCATGAATTTCACAGCATCTATCTTCACAAGTTTTTTTAAAAGAATATAGGTAATAGAAGTTAAGGAATCTAAGGAAATATATTTGTCATATCAGTGTGTAATAAATCACAAAGTAACAGTGAACTGTAGTGGCATCAATTTCTACTTATAAAAAATAAATATAATTTCTAAAGAGCATTCCTATAGAAATGTCTTTCCTTTTGTTAAGAATGATAATCTATTATTAACCAATGCAATTACTTTTTCTATCTTATATATATTCTAGTTATGGAAAGAAAGAATGAATTTTATAATTAAGACAAGAACTCCTTTACTATTAAAGTCTTGGTAGTGGAAAATTAAAACTGACCCCTTTTTATATTTTGGGTGTAACTTGCGAACTTCTACTTACTTAATGTTATTTCATAATGAAGTAATTATAAAAGACCCATAATAGGCTATCAAAAAAGAGAAAATTACTCAATTCTAAGAAACAGTGAGCTCTCTTAGTAGAAATCTAAGATCAGAACATAATTAGGAGGATATAGCAGACTGTATGTCATCAAGTATAGATGGACAGCTTAAAGGAACTAATAGTTCTCAAGTGCCTAGTATGTAAAAGGCATTTTCCATATGTTAATTCACCTAATCTTCACAATTATACTGTTAAGTATTGATTATTATTTTTAGTCCATAAATAATGAAACAGGAGCTAAGAGAAATTAAGTCACTTGCCCAAGATCATACAGCCATGGATTGACAGTACTGAGATTTGAACTGTAGTTTGGTTCCAAAGGCCATGTTCTTTCTGCTGTACCACATTATCACCTGAATAGTTCAACTTAGAAGGAGCATGAAGTTAAGAAATCGGAAACATGAATACAAGGCCTAAATAATTTCAGGTATGATGTGGATTCTAAACACATCTACTCAGTATGCAAATACCCTCTTCTCTTACTCTACCATAGTCATGTGTTTCTACCAGAGCTAGAGCATCTCTCGGCCATTCCCTAACACCCACTCATGCCTTTCTTGAAGGCTATAATAATCTTATATGGCTCCATTCATATTACAAGGAAAACACTGGCTTTCTGTTTCCTTCACATCATCTCCAAATATATGACTCAGTCTACTGCCTCTGCACAGGGGCACTGAGAAGTATAATTCTAAATTTTAGTCACTCAGGCATGGGTATCAAAGAGTGGAAAACACATTGGAACACGAGTCAGGAGACCTGGGCTTGACTATACCATTCAATGAATTCAAGTAATAAACTTAGACTGTCTCAGCCTTAGTTTCTCTCTCCAACAAATGAGGATGAAACCTATGCCCAAGCTACTTTACAGGATTGTTCTGAGGATCACATAATGCAAATGTCTTTGCCAGTTATCAATCATGGAAAAAGAAAGATGCAGAGAATTCACAAAACGTATGCAACTTGCAAGGCTAATTTTCACAATTTCATGAGATAGACAGTATTACTTCTATTTTTCAGGTAAGGAAATAAATTAAAAAAAAATTAAATAATTTTTCAAAAGATAAACAATTAGTATGATTTATACTCCAGTCCCTCTGATTCCAAAGCAACTATTCCAGTTGCATATGAAGCATGTATGTTTGGCTTAGCCATATACCTGATTATTTAAAATATGCATCTACATTTTAGCATGTATCTGTATTAGAGAGTAAACTTTCTAAGGGCAGGGATGATATCCATGCATTTTAACCCTCTTGCACTGTTCTCAGCAGGTGCTCAATGCATTGTGTTTTTCTTTTTTTTCTTTTTTTGAGACAGACTCTCGCTCTGTCACCCAGGCTGGAGTGCAGTGGCGTGATCTCAGCTCACTGCAACCTCCACCCCTCCGGGTTCAAGTGATTCTCCTGCCTCAGCCTCCTGAGTAGTCAGGACTACAATCATGGGTCACCACGCCTAGCTAATTTTTTGTATTTTTAGTAGAGATGGGGTTTCACTATGTTGGTCATGCTGGTCTCGAACTCCTTACTTCAAGTGATCCACCGTGCCTGGCCACAATGCACTGGGTTTTTCTGGCAGGCTGCAGGGCAACAAGACCAAGGCTGACAGGTAGCAAGTTTTTCCTTGCCTCCAAAGATGCAGATTTGATGATTATTCCCAGTGTCAGTCACTGGGCTGAAGACCTGCCACTCAGACTTCACTCAGTTAAACAGGGGTAGGATCAATAAACTTAGAAATATCTTAAGTAATTACCAAATAGAATTCTCTTAAAATTGCAAAGTTAAAAGTGACAGGGTCTATGGGTAATAAGAATGCTGCCATTAATAGGAATCTTCCTGTCAGTGCTGTTAATAAACAGCAAGTCATGTTTTGACAATAGAATATTTATGAAAGCAATAAACAGAACATTCACAGGAAGAATCTCATCTGTCAAAGACACATTTTCTGCAGAACGGCATCTGTGCACTTTGTACCAAGGCCAGCCTCACTGCCTTTTAATTACATTCCAAAGAAAAAAATGATTAAGAATGAATTTTTACATTTTTCAATAAAGAAAAAAATGAGAGTTCACCTGAATATTTATGTTCTCTTATAGAAATTCAATTCAAAGCTAGTTACGGCTCTTAAGTGGGTCTGTAATGTTAAAAAAGGCAAATGAACACATCATCTTTATGATCTTTACACTCTGATCTTATTCTTCTCTAAGAGACTAGGGTTCATCTGAGTTGTGCCATTTTGGCTGGGTGGAGCATTAGATAAATTATGGCAACACTAAGTTAGATTTCAGAGGTCTATCCAAAACACCTCTTAGCAGTAAACCTGGTAATGGTGGTAACAGTAACAGTAGCAACAGTACTAGAAGTCTTGAGAGTGAGTAAAATTAATAGAGGAAACATCACATAGGGAACATGTCAACAGAAGAGTCACGATTCAAATCCAGATCTGTCTGGCTCTAAAACTTAGGGTCTTTTCACTAGGGTATATCAGATCCATTTGATTTTAAAGAGACTAGTTCTCCTCCAGAGATCATTTGCTCCTTGAAATACAATTGAAATCGGAATCAAGTCCCAGAAGGGACAGGGAAACATTTTATTTTAGGAGGGACCAATTCATTAATGAGCCAGCATCACATCCAGGATTGAGCAAACTCTACAGTCTGGCTGGCAGTAACCCATTAAACAAAATTCTCAGAAAATCCCTGTCTCTAGCCATATAGTTATGAAAACACTGAAGAGGGTGAAGATGGTCTTATTGATAGCTAGGATAACACATAAAGAAAAACAAGAAAATAATCTTGTAAGATGGCTGAAAATTCTGAAAATCTGTATCCTTTGAAAAGGAGGATAACTAAATTGAGAATGAACTGCTTTCTTACAGGAGTACTACACAATTCAGTAGCTGCTCGACACAGTATCACCAAGTATGACTTCAATTCACAGTATCAGGCCTTTTCTGACTATTTACCACATTTCATCAAATCTAAAACACCACTGATTGTAAAACAAAAAAATCAATATAATATGTACTACTAAGAAAAAGTACTTAAAAATACCATCAATTATAAGATATATCCTATTTACAGAAGTGTAAAGATGTGAAAAAATTTGATTTAGAATTACAGTAGTGTACTAGATACATCATATTCACTAAGTACAAAAGAGTGGGTAATCATACTGAATCTGGGCAAATATTTAAAAGTCATACATGTTCACAGACACTTTTGCAGAGTTAGATCCTGATGAAAGAAGAAAGTTCACAGATGACAATATTACATGTCAGAAATTGCCATACTTAGGTTATACATACAAAGTATAGTAACTGAAATGTAAGTTTAGTTATTTCAAAAGTAGAATTTTGCTTATGAACCCTACGAGACACACACACACAGACACACACATACACACACACAGACATGCACACAGACACACAAACAGACACAATTCCTTTTAAGCAAATATAAAGAAAAGAACAGAAGGAAGAAATACCCATTATAAAAGTACTACGGGAGATTATCTAGGCCAAAAACTATACTAATTGGTTATCCTCATATGATATCTGGCCATTTCTGATAAGTTGGGTAATAACATCAATATTTATTTACAAGATGGACTGAAGACTTAAATGTAAGACCTAAAACCATAAAAACCCTAGAAGAAAAACTAGGCAATACCATTCAGGACATAGGCATGGGCAAAGACTTCATGACTAAAACATCAAAAGTAATGGCAACAAAAGCCAAAATTGACATATAGGATCTAATTAAACTAAAGAGCTTCTGCACAGCAAAAGAAACCATCATCAGAGTGAATAGGCAACCTAAAGAATGGGAGAAAATTTTTGCAATCTATCCATCTGACAAAGGGCTAATATCCAGAATCTACAAGGAACATAAACAAATTTACAAGAAAAATACAACCCCATCAAAAAGTGGGCAAAGGATATGAACAGACACTTCTCAAAAGAAGACATTTATGCGACCAACAACCAGATGATAAAAAGCTCATCATCACTGGTCATTAGAGAAATGCAAATCAAAACCACAATGAGATACTATCTCATGCCAGTTAGAATGGTGATCACTAAAAAGTCAGGAAACAACAGATGCTGGAGAGGATATGGAGAAATAGGAATGCCTTTACACTGTTGGCGGGAGTGTAAATTAGTTCAATCACTGTGGAAGACAGTGTGGCGATTCCTCAAGATTCTAGAACCAGAAATACCATTTGACCCAGCAATCCCATTACTGGGTATATACCCAAAGGATGATAAATCATTCTCCTCTTAAGACACAAGTACACGTATGTTTATTGCAGCACTGTTCACAATAGCAAAGACTTGGAACCAAAACAAATGCCCATCAATGACAGACTGGATAAAAAAAATGTGCCACATATACACAATGGAATACTACGCAGCCATAAAAAAGGATGAGTTCATGTTCTTTGCAGGGACATGGATGAAGCAGGAAACCATCACTGTCAGCAAACTAACACAGGAACAGAAAACCAAACACCACATGTTCTCATTCATAAGTGGGAGTTGAACAATGAGAACACATGGACACAGGGAGGGGAACATCACACACCAGGGCCAGT